AGTTGTTAAATGGACGGGTGGATTTGCACTTGCCGTGCTGACTGTTATCTTCATTTTTGCTTTCAGTTATATTGCCTGGGAATTCCTGTGGGAGATGCACAGAAGGCCGGGGACCGGGCCTGGGTCTGGGATCAGGAGTAAAGGTAACAGGACCTGGAACCCTCCTCGCCGGCTAAAACAAATTGTGTGTGTGCGCCGGGCCACGGGCATAAAAACAAGCGGATCAAACATGGCCTGGGCAGGTGGAATGGAATGGGATGTGCGAAGTGAATGAGGATGAGGACGGGGACGGGTTTCCACAGCCGGAACAGGAGCCGCAAATCGAAAAAGAGTGTTGTTCCCCTGCCCCCCTCCTGGCTGCTGCTGTTGTTGACCGGAGCCCAGGTTCATTGAAATTGCATTAATGTTCCGGCGAATAGATAGAGTACGCAACTCCCCCCACCCTTAGAGGCACTTTCCAACCTGCCGGAGCCACCCCAGCTACACCCCAGCTACACCCCTGCTACAGCCCTGCTTTTTGTGTAATGGAAATCTGCGTGCATAATCCGCCCTTTCCCCCCTGATAAGATGGGCGGGATAAACTAGTTATGGCCATTAATACGATCAATTTGATGCTCACTTCGCCCGGTGCAAGTCTCACTGAGGGAAAAAAAGGAAGCATATTTTCCGCTGAAAGGCCGTGTCCATCCCTCGTCAAGGTTGTAACTGATAATTGTAAAGTCTGGCATCCACATATGCCGCACATTAAATGTACGGCAGGCAGGGGGTTGGATTTTGGGTCAAGCGATGCGTTGATGTGCATTTTAAGCAGGTTAACCTGTTAACTGTCGCAGAACCCTTCCTTATCTCTCTACTTTTTTTGTGCTCCACCTCCGGGAGGTAGGAGGAGGTCCAACTTGGTTGGAGTTCGAGCTTAGGGAGCTCTCCGTTTAGCTGACCAAAACTTATCTGGCCCTCTCCTTCCGCGTCCATTGTAATCCGCAATTTGGGCAATCAGTCGATTAGGGCCAACCCCGGAAAGCTGATTCGCCGGAAGTGGACCATTACGTATGCATGAGGAGCTGCAAGGACGAAAGTGCAATTTGCAGTCACAAAAACCGGGCGACCGTGTTTGCCGGGGGATCCGTGTAATTGCGACAACGTGTCGTATGAGTGATGTTCGTCGCCTTTTATTTTTCACTTCTCACAGAAGCAAACAACTATTAAAGTGGATTTTCTTTTAAGCAGCTTAAAGAGGAGAGACTTGGAAAAGCTTCGATTTAAAACGATCGAAACAAAGCCTTTAAATAGTCAGTTATTAAGTAAATATAGTTATTAAGCAAACAACTATTGTATGTATATATTGTACGTAAATTGTGATGTAGCAAATATAGATGTATCACATTTTGTTCAATATTTAATGATATTAGATATCTTTTATTATTTTCCATCCATATACTTTTATATTTGCAATCCAAAACAAAGTTATGTTAAACTCTAAGTTGCTGTTTTAAGGAATTTTATGGGGATCATTAAATTTTAACTCAAAATGCAGACCTAGGGTATGTTCAGTTTGGGTTTTATGTGAAAACTAGCCCTGGCCCTCTTTGTTTTTCTTATTTTTCTTTCTAAACGTCGCCCATTCGTAAAGTTGCGCCTTCAATTGTCTCGGTCATAAAAAAGAAGAACGCACACGTACGTACACAGCGGTGGACATAAATAATTGATGAAGAAAAGGAAACTAAATAAATAAATAAATGAAACGAGGACGAGAACGAGAACGAGGCGGAACGAAGGGAAAGTGGAGCCAGAGAGAGAGAGGGGGCGGGCATGGGGACGGTAAATTGTCACTGGATGACACGAAGCTTTCTGCACAGCGCAAATAATACACTAAATAAATAAAAAAAGTGTACTCACACATACATAGAGAGGGAGAGAGAGAGAGAGAGAGGGAGGGAATCATTGAACTTTCACCTGAACTAGGAAAAAAGCCCAGACCCCTAAATAAAGTTAATGCATTAATAATCATAATTTCTCCCACATCTATCTTGGGGTTTTTGTGGCGTGGGTCAACATTAAATATGGTCACAATTTAATTATGTCAATCAGGCTGCTGGCGATAAATGACAACGTAATCGATAACCAGACAAATGGCGAGACCATAAACAAGCAACCGTGATCGATTATTGGGCAATTCGAACGATAGTCAATGGGCAAGTAATGCCTCGCAATTACGAACGGCAAAGGAAGTTCAATGCACGAAAATTCCCCCACTGAGTGAGTGTGTTTGCCTAACAATTTGAATTTTTAAAACTCGGAAGAAGAAAACAGAAAAAATCAAGAATGTAAATGACTGCAAATAGCATTTAAATTGTTTAAATTTAATCGCTTCAGGGGATGAACTTCAGCTGGGAAGGAAACATTTCGACAAATTGCTAAAATGATGGCAATTATGGTATTATGCTAAGAAGTAGCTAAATTTACTGCAATTTAAGTTGTTCAATTATATTTATAAATTTATTAAGTTTATTTTTTACATGCTAATTTTATGCGTAAATTTAAGTTTTTCAAATATCATAACTAAGCCAAAAATGCATTAAATTCAATTCGGAAAGAGTTTCTGTGTTAGTTTTTTATAGCTTAACAAATCTGCATACTCGATTTTCTATTTTAAAAAAATTCAATTTATTGCCAAAAATTGACAATTTTAATGATGTAACCCCTTATAAAAAATTGCAATTTTTGAAAAAATCTTGAAAATTTTATTTTTCACCAAACATGCCCAGAAAGATTCTCCTGTTGATGCTGATCAAGAATATATATGATTTATGCGGTCGGAAATGCCTCCTTCATAGTGTTGCAAGCTTCTGACTAAAATTAGAATACCCTGAAAATGGTATTTTTATAGTAAATTTATGATGTATATTGTTGAATTATCACAGATTAAATATATCACAGCTCAGCCAAAAATGCTTTAAATTTAATTCGAAAAACGTTTCTATGTAAGTTTTTTATAGCTTAACAATTCTGCATACTCGGTTTTCAATTTAAATTTAAACAAAGAAAATAAATACATATTTTCTATGGCATACTTTTTTTATAGTAAATTTATGTTCTATTTTGTTGAATTATCACAGTTTAAATATATCACAGCTCAGCCAAAATAGCATTAAATTCAATTCGGAAAGTGTTTCTGTGTTAGTTTTTTGTAGCTTAACAAATCTGCATACTCCGTTTTAAATTTTAAAAAATTCAATTTTTTGCCAAAAATTGACAATTTTAATGATGTAACCCCTTATAAAAATTTGCAATTTTTGAAAAAATCTTGAAAATTTTATTTTTCACCAAACATGCCCAGAAAGATTCTCCTGTTGATGCTGATCAAGAATATATATGATTTATGCGGTCGGAAATGCCTCCTTCATAGTGTTGCAAGCTTCTGACTAAAATTAGAATATCTTTGGAAGGGTAGAAAAAAATGAAGCTAGTTTACTTTAGTTTCCGGCAAGGTAAGCCCTAATTTCCGACAAGGCTCTACCCCGGGGTGGACTTTATTAGTGGTAACTGGCGGCCACCCTAGTTAACGGTAAGTTGTTTCTAATGTGCGCACAAGACAAATATTTGCTGTTGTCGCCTGTCGCCGCTGGGCCCAGGAATAACGGTACCAGAAAAAGGAAGCGGAAGTGGGCGAGGAAGAGGAAGAGGAAATCGAAGGTGGAAGTGGAGTTGCGTGTGGAGTGGCAATGGTAAGTTAACGATATTTACCAAACAATATGCCAAACCGCAGTGCAAGGACATGAAAAATCAAACAGGTGCACTAAATGAATTTCGAATATGATAAACCACTTGTGGTTGAAGAGGAGAGAATATACAGGATATATGCAGGAGCCCAGAGAACGAGTACTATATCCCTTCGGGGCGGCGCTGGCAGTGCGTGCCGTGCCTGGCCGAAGGATACGACGGGAAATCAAGCCATATGTTGCGAATACTAATGGCACACACAGGATATGGCCATTGGCCCCGGCCCGGCCCAGCCCGGAAATATGTAAGTGTAATTTAAATTGAATTAAGTGTGCTGCTGCTGTCTGTTGTGTATTATTTTCCGGGTCAGCCAAGCGGGCAGTCGGCGAGCGAGGGTTGCTCTACCGGGTATTCCCCGATCCCAAACTAGATCGTAGCATAAGTTTGAACCGGCAGAAATCTGTGATAAATGCCTGCAAAGTGGCATCACAGCGAATATCCTGGCTCATCCTTGCTCATTTGGCACAGTTGCGACGTCGGAAGGGATGGGGTTGGGAATGGAAACTGATAATGGATATTTGCCGCCGCCGTAATTGTTACAAATGTTCCGACAACAGCAACAAACCCACCCCACTCACTCTCTCTCACTTCCTCTCGAAGCGAAAACTTTATGATGGATATGATTATTTTAATTAGCATTATATTTACTCGTGTTTACCCCTTTCGGCAAAGGCACTGCACTGGATTTTATTGCGATTGCCTCTCCACATAATTGGCTTTTCATATGCTCGCAAAACCCGAAACCAGTTGCGATTGGGGCTGCCGTTCCGTAAATTAGTTTAATTTAATGAGTTTTATAATGCGCTGGGGGTCTCTGCCGGTCCTGTCTTCTGGCATAACGATTATGACACATGTTGCCAGGACTTTCTGACAGTTAGCCCACGAAGCCATCGAGGGATGATGTTGGGAAGAGCAGAGTTCCGAGGGGTTTGAAGTGGCACTCACCTCCCAGGTGTGAGGACACGAAATTAGCCAAGGACTTGGGCTAGGACTAGCAAATGTTTTTAGGAAGACGATAAAGGGACTTATACAAGGGTTGCGTATTCTTACGAAAATATGGTTTAGTTTATAGAAAGTCTCCTAAATAACTAAAATATCTAAGAGGATTTTTGTATTTGGATCTACTTTTAATAATCGCAGAAGAGTGTCTTTTAAAACAAATCAAGTAAGCCAGGTCAAGTAGGTGAGATACTACTGTCATTCTCTTGTCAGAAGTTTTTCGACTGTACGAAAATCATTCAGACCCTGTACGTTCTCCATATAAGAACATTTATCAGTGAAGTAAGCGTCAAATATAAAACATTCAAGAGACATTCAGAAGCAAACCAGCAGTCAAAATTCTCTTACAAAACGAAGGTCAACAAAAATTATTTCGGAAATATTTCTTCTTCTTTTTTGGTCAACAAAATTGGAAAGTTTTTGATATTACAAAATTTTTATTCAAAACAATAAACACGGGTAATACCTGACACATTTGTACATTTTACTAAAGAAAACTGTGAGTTAATAATGAAATATAATGAGAAAATCTTCTAATGCAATTGTGAAATATATGAATCTGAATCTTTGTTAAATATTTCAAATGATTTCAATCCGTGTTTAGCAGCTATTTTTAAGCAAGAGACATGCCGCTCCATCTAAGTCCTTCGTGGCCCGCCTTCGGGCATGTGCAGAAGCTGACCGATTTGTTCGAAGAGAAGGCTTTACCCAAGAAATCGCCAAAAATCTTGAAGAAACCTGTACCTATGCCCAAACTAAAACCAGAGCTGTTGGTTCGCATCAAAGTGGCTCTGGGCGAGGAGCCACAGAAGCCACCGAAGGCACCCAAGCCACAAAAGCCACACAAGCCACATAAGGCACCTGCCCCAAAACCTAACACTTCTCCCCTCCAAGAGGCTCAGCCCGGTGATAATGCTGCGTCCATCGGGGATGGAGGGGATAATGTTGTCCAGAGCCAGTGCCCCCGGAATGGAGGCGATAATGCTAGACTTGCCGAGTGGACCGAAAAATATCGGGACTATCACTTTGTGCCATAGAAATTTTTGTAAGAAGCCCCCCATTTCGGATACCTTCTCACCAGATGTGAACAACAACCGCTGAAGTCTCTTCAATTACAAAATTTATATGGTTTTCCAAAGACTCTAGAAGGTTTTCCAGAACTCATTTCCAAACTATTTTGTCCATGCAAAGACTGTTTTTCCAAAGGTAATTGCTATACAAGGTAAAGGAATTTCAAATTAATTTCACCTCTTGTTTTACAGGCACCACGTTAGTACACCCCAAACAATGTCTCTCAAGAATTCTGAAGCGCTTTGATTCCTTTGTTTTTAGGAAAATTAAAAGAAAATAGTGTAAAAAACCCTCTCCTTGAGTCCCTTTTTGATTTCCCATCGTTACTTATAACCAAGTAGCCTCCTCCTCCTGCCCTTACCCCGGAAAAGCCAATTTGTTAACAATTGAATTGGAGCGGAGATCGTGTGCAGTCCTTCGCCTGATACCGCAGCCAGGAGCCGGGAGGAGAATGGGTGATTGATAGAGTTCCCTGCCACCTGAGTCCTGTGCAGGACGAAATCGAAGCTCGAGAGTGTTGCCGAAAATTAAGGCCTGCACGCGCTGGCAATTGGGAATGGTTATGGGTTACGGGTTATGTGCCAGGAGGGATTCGTCCTGTGGGTGGGATTACTTTGCCTACGAGCGAATATATGTATGTACAATATACAGGGGAGTGCGTGGAGTGGTGCAGGGGGAGGCGGAGTGCAACCACACATCAACCACCGCAGGCGGCGCGTGGACAGGGCGCACTTCGTCATGCTCGATTGTGCCGAAAACAAGTGCAACAGCAACATGAGCACGGCAGCGGCGGCAACACGAGGACGACACGAGCAACACCAGCCAGGAGCGGCAGTAGCAACAAGAGCAACTACCCAGCTACACAGAGAGATTAATTTGGACTCAAATAATATATTTTTAAGACCGAATTTCGAGCAGTAAATTGGGGAAATAAATGTCAGCCAGAAGCTTGAAAAACATTGAAGGAGTCGTTTCCGACCCCATAAATCATATATATTCTTGATCAGCATCAACAGAAGAATCTTTCTAGGCATGTTTTGCGAAAAAAAAATTTTTCAAGACTTTTTCAAAAATTGCAAATTTTTATAAGGGGTTACATCATTAAAATTGTCAACCGAGTATGCAGATTTGTTAAGCTATAAAAAACTAACATAGAAACACTTTCCGAATTAAATTTAATGCATTTTTGGCTTAGTTATGAATTTTTGAAATATTTGAATTCTAGAAAAATATTGTTCTGCAGGGTATAGAAATTTCGTTTTCCCAAAGTGTCTTCCTCTCAATTTTTTTTTATATTTAATAACAAAAATACCTTAGCATTAACGTGTTATATATAAGTTCATAGTGTTAAGGTTGCTTAGTAATTAAAATGGGTATGTTCGAATTTGTGCTAATAAAACCTAACCTTAACCTTAAAATATTACTGGTCGCTATATATCCTACATTATTTATTTAATACTTTTAATGTTCACTTTATATTCTTTGCCGTGCAGCTAGAGGCCCGAAAACAGGTTGCTTGTGTAATTTGATTACAATCAACTTCTAATAGAGCACCAACCACTGGCGCACATAATTCCACTTGTGCCAGTCCCAGTTCCCAGTCCTAGTTCCCAGTTCCCAGTCCTAGTCCCAACTGGGCCACCTGACCCAATCCCCCTTTTGCACACCTTCTGTTCCTGGAACACGGGGCGTTTTTAGAGAGAGCGCCGCGGTTGTCCTTTTATTTTTCTGTTCCATTTTCGGAACGCCCAGTTCGAGTTGAAGTACAATACAATTAACGACACGAATCATGATGTGCTTACCTGGCAAACGACCGTCACGTGGCACGTTCCCAGAAGGCTTACACGTCACAATTTTAATTTTATTAAAGAAACATTTCAAATTAACCGCACAAGCGTACATACATATATATACTCAAATATATAGAGATATATTTTGGGAGGGAGACATGCGTGTGACCACCACCGAAAGCGGAAATTGAAGTTGCCGACTGTCCCAATGCGACAGTTTCTCGTCCTTTTCCACTTAGCCGCTCGCAGGACTTTCATCAGGGAATGACTTTCATAATTTGCAGCTTTCTAGACGTTGCCTAATATGCCTTATCCTGTGTGTCTCCCCACCCCGCCACACACACACACGCCGCACAGTTCAATCAGCGGCTGGAGTTGAACTTCCGGTCGGTTCCCCATGTCCTGGCTAATCCCAGAATCATGTAATGGATGCGAAATGAAAGTGCTTTTCGTCCGGGAAAAAGGGTGCCCAGCAAGCCGCTTTTGATAATTGAACGCAATGGCACAGACAGCAGTTTACATAACAAAATAGATTTATTTAGCATTAAAAACGTAGAGCAGAAACCGGCATGCTACTTATAAGCAACCAATTATGGAGACGAAAGTTGATATATCATCAAGGGGAAGTACTATTAGAAGGGTATATGAATAAGAATTTATTGGTGACATATTCATGGTTCTTGTAACTATTGGACAGCGCTTTGAAACTATCAAACAGGATACTAAGAAAAGGACACTCACCTGCAGTGGACGTTGCGGGGGCCCGCTCATTGTGTGGTGGTGGTACATGACATCATGCTTGATTTGGGAGGGCATTTGGCTATGTACATGCTGGGCTTGATGCTTCTGGATGTCGACGGCGGCCAGGGCCTCCGCTCGGCTCAGGATGCCGTCGTTGATGCCCGCGAAGATATCACCCTGGAAGGCAGAGAGCAGAAGGTCAGAGAGGTCAAAATGGATCGAAGGTGGCGGCGAGGAGAATCGAAACAATCGAAACAATATGGAGAACAAATCAATCCCAAATCCAATTTGAATTTTTCGATGAAACAAGGATACACTTTGGCATACGAATAGATATATATATGTATATATAGATATATGTATAGGTCGGCGTCGGCGCTTTCAAATAAGAGAGAGAGAGTCCGGATGTACGAGAGATCAAATATAGGAAATATCGAATATCAAAAATATGAATTTCAGAAAAGGAAAATCAATCAAGAGACAAGACAAACGTGGGTTTTCGCTTGTTTTGTTTTTGTATAATTTGTTTCTTATATAGTATATATATTTTGTTTTGTTAGTTTTTGTTTAATTTTGAAGTTTGTGTAACTTACATTCTGACGTGCTGACCACGAATTGCATAATAGGGAAGCATCTTCTAACAATCGACTCTGAAAAGACGGAACAAACATCGATAGTATGTGTATAGATTGGCTTTGCCTTTGTAGCAAAAGGTATTTCGTATATATTTCTAGTTTTCTTTATTTGTTTTTTTACGGTAATATATATAGCGAAATTCCGCTTATTCAGGCACGGATTTTCCTGCTTAAAATTCTTTTGTTTTTATGGAATATTAATATGCAGAAATTCGTGGCAGGTTATTATAATAATTTTAAGGGGCTCTATTCAATATAGTATATATTCTGATAGATTGTATATTTTTTTAAACATTGTTTTTGGGGCATATACTAACTAAAGTTTATCTTGGAGAATTCAGATATTTCCTTGGATAAGACGGTATTCAACGCTTCAGAAAGACATTAAATATGAAATGTCAACAGTAGTCTTAATATATTTATTTATTTCTAATTTTCCATAGATGTGCAATAGTTTCTTTTGAATTAGATTCTGTAAATATTTTTGTAAAAGGTTTTCCTTCTCGACTCGCTCGAGATTGAGGTTCCCTTGGAGATAACTCCTCCATCTAATCTTAAAGCGTTTCTCAGTCTTTAACCAGTTTTTTTTTCCTTTTTCTTTTTTTTTTGAGGGTCATATTGATTTTTGCGCCAACCCAGTGCCACCTGCCACTGCCACCGCGCGCCACTAGCTGGTTTTTAAATAAATAATATCAAAAGTTTTTTGGTTCCCTCCGGTTCATCTTCATGTCGTCGCCATCGCTATCGTCGTCGTCGTCGGCGTCTTTATTATTCCAGTCTTATCGATTTTATATTTTATATATATATATATATATATATATATATATATATATATATATATATGTGTGTGTATATATTTGTACAGGCACAAGTGAAACAACTCGTTGTGTATACGAAACTCGCACGAATTTTTCAGTTAATCAATTATTTAGATGCGCACAAAAACTTCAAAACGCCGCACGACGAAAACGAAAGACTAACGACGGAAGGATATCAAGGATATGGGTTGCGAGACAGAGAGAGAGAGATAGAGAGAGATACAGAGAGAGAGAGAGGACGCCCACATGCCTAAAGGACATCGGCGCTCACGTTTTGCGGCCCATTTTCCAAGGCGAAAGGCGTAATTCAATGGAAAACCAGCGCAGCCCAGTCCAGCTCCTCCCTCAATCGCCCAAGGAGAACCGCAGAGGCGACGGCAACGGGACAGCGGCCATTGTAGAAATCAAAATGTTGTGCATTCCTAATGACGTCTTGGCCACATTCAACCATGGCCAACCCGTCCAGACCCCTCACATTGCCACTTCAAGGGGACAAGGGGGTGCCACATCGAAGGGGGGGCCGCGGTGTGCAAATAATCCGACGGCCCCCGCAGTGTGTTTTTGCATTTGGCGAAACGTTTATGCGTGCTCCCTTCTCAGGATGCCAGGACGAGGGCCTGACAGACTTCACATAGACATAATGGCAGGTCCTCTCCTCATTCATACATACACACATACACACACACTCTAACAATCACAGGAAACGGAAAAGAAAGCAAAAGCATCATAGTGCTGAAAAAAATCTAGGCCTTTATGGTTAATCAGGAGCCATCAGATCGTAAAGAGTTTATTTTTGAAGGAAGACACACTGACTGATGAAGAAAGGAAAAGCGATGAACAGGGAAAACAAGGCTTTTATCATGGAAGGCAACTACAGTTGCAGATTGCAAATGAATCGGAAATTGATCATAACTAAGTTTACAATATTTGCATTCCTTAAATCAATATTAATCGATTTGTTCATATCGAAAATTTCAAAAATGCATTAAGTTTAATTCGGAAGGTGTTTCTGTGTTAGTTTTTTATAGCTTAACAAATCTGCATACTCGGTTTTCAATTTTCAAAAATTCAATATTTTGTCAATTTTAAAGATGTAACCCCTTATAAAATTTTTAAATTTACAAAAATTTATGAAAATGTTTTTTACACCAAACATGCCTAGAAATTTTTCTAAGCTTTTTTTTTTAAGCTTCTGACTGAAGGTCCATTACCATTTTTTAACCGAAATTAACAATATTTTTATACCAAATTTTTCGACAAATCAAAATTTAAAAATTTCATAACTAAGTCAAAAACGCATTAATTTCAATTTGGAAAGCGGCTGAAGGTTAATTGTTAGCAGGTTAACAAAACTGCATATTCCATTTAAAATGTGAATTTTTGTCCGATTTTTGCAAATTTTCATGATGTAACCCCTTTCCTTTTTTTACAAAAATAGAAAATTTCGGAAAAAATTTTTTTTCGGCCGGAGTTGGCTTAAAAGATTCGCCTGTTGATGCTGATCAAGAATATATATGATTTATAGGGTCGGAAATGACTCCTTCACTTTCTTTTAAGCTTCTGACTGAAGGTCCATTACCATTTTTTAACCGAAATTAACAATATTTTTATACCAAATTTTTCGACAAATCAAAATTTAAAAATTTCATAACTAAGCCAAAAACGCATTAATTTCAACTCGGAAAGCGGCAGTATGTTAATTTTTAGCAGGCTAACAAAACTGCATACTCCATTTAAAATGTGAATTTTTGTCCGATTTTTGCAAATTTTCATGATGTAACCCTTTCCTTTTTTTACAAAAATGGAAAATTTCGGAAATCATAGTGCTGAAAAAAATCTAGGCCTTTATGGTTAATCAGGAGCCATCAGATCGTAAAGAGTTTATTTTTGAAGGAAGACACACTGACTGATGAAGAAAGGAAAAGCGATGAACAGGGAAAACAAGGCTTTTATCATGGAAGGCAACTACAGTTGCAGATTGCAAATGAATCGGAAATTGATCATAACTAAGTTTACAATATTTGCATTCCTTAAATCAATATTAATCGATTTGTTCATATCGAAAATTTCAAAAATGCATTAAGTTTAATTCGGAAGGTGTTTCTGTGTTAGTTTTTTATAGCTTAACAAATCTGCATACTCGGTTTTCAATTTTCAAAAATTCAATATTTTGTCAATTTTAAAGATGTAACCCCTTATAAAATTTTTAAATTTACAAAAATTTATGAAAATGTTTTTTACACCAAACATGCCTAGAAATTTTTCTAAGCTTTTTTTTTTAAGCTTCTGACTGAAGGTCCATTACCATTTTTTAACCGAAATTAACAATATTTTTATACCAAATTTTTCGACAAATCAAAATTTAAAAATTTCATAACTAAGTCAAAACGCATTAATTTCAATTTGGAAAGCGGCTGAAGGTTAATTGTTAGCAGGTTAACAAAACTGCATATTCCATTTAAAATGTGAATTTTTGTCCGATTTTTGCAAATTTTCATGATGTAACCCCTTTCCTTTTTTACAAAAATAGAAAATTTCGGAAAAAATTTTTTTTCGGCCGGAGTTGGCTTAAAAGATTCGCCTGTTGATGCTGATCAAGAATATATATGATTTATAGGGTCGGAAATGACTCCTTCACTTTCTTTTAAGCTTCTGACTGAAGGTCCATTACCATTTTTTAACCGAAATTAACAATATTTTTATACCAAATTTTTCGACAAATCAAAATTTAAAAATTTCATAACTAAGCCAAAAACGCATTAATTTCAACTCGGAAAGCGGCAGTATGTTAATTTTAGCAGGCTAACAAAACTGCATACTCCATTTAAAATGTGAATTTTTGTCCGATTTTTGCAAATTTTCATGATGTAACCCCTTTCCTTTTTTTACAAAAATGGAAAATTTCGGAAAAAAATTTTTTTCGGCCGGAGTTGGCTTAAAAGATTCGCCTGTTGATGCTGATCAAGAATATATATGATTTATGGGGTCGGAAATGACTCCTTCACTTTCTTTTAAGCTTCTGACTGAAGGTCCATTACCATTTTTTAACCGAAATTAACAATATTTTTATACCAAATTTTTCGACAAATCAAAATTTAAAAATTTCATAACTAAGCCAAAAACGCATTAATTTCAACTCGGAAAGCGGCAGTATGTTAATTTTTAGCAGGCTAACAAAACTGCATACTCCATTTAAAATGTGAATTTTTGTCCGATTTTTGCAAATTTTCATGATGTAACCCCTTTCCTTTTTACACAAAAATGGGAAATTTCGGAAAAAAATTTTTTTCGGCCGGAGTTGGCTTAAAAGATTCGCCTGTTGATGCTGATCAAGAATATATATGATTTATAGGGTCGGAAATGACTCCTTCACTTTCTTTTAAGCTTCTGACTGAAGGTCCATTACCATTTTTTAACCGAAATTAACAATATTTTTATACCAAATTTTTCGACAAATCAAAATTTAAAAATTTCATAACTAAGGCAAAAACGCATTAATTTCAATTCGGAAGGCGGCAGTATGTTAATTTTTAGCAGGCTAACAAAACTGCATACTCCATTTAAAATGTGAATTTTTGTCCGATTTTTGCAAATTTTCATGATGTAACCCTTTCCTTTTTTACATAAATGGAAAATTTCGGAAAAAAATTTTTTTCGGCCGGAGTTGGCTTAAAAGATTCGCCTGTTGATGCTGATCAAGAATATATATGATTTATAGGGTCGGAAATGACTCCTTCACTTTCTTTTAAGCTTCTGACTGAAGGTCCATTACCATTTTTTAACCGAAATTAACAATATTTTTATACCAAATTTTTCGACAAATCAAAATTTAAAAATTTCATAACTAAGCCAAAAACGCATTAATTCAATTCGGAAAGCGGCAGAAGGTTAATTTTTAGCAGGCTAACAAAACTGCATACTCCATTTAAAATGTGAATTTTTGTCCGATTTTTGCAAATTTTCATGATATAACCCCTTTCCTTTTTTCACAAAAATGGGAAATTTCGGAAAAAAATTTTTTTCGGCCGGAGTTGGCTAAAAGATTCGCCTGTTGATGCTGATCAAGAATATATATGATTTATAGGGTCGGAAATGACTCCTTCACTTTCTTTTAAGCTTCTGACTGAAGGTCCATTACCATTTTTTAACCGAAATTAACAATATTTTTATACCAAATTTTTCGACAAATCAAAATTT